TAGTCCCATGATACAACTCCTGATCTTTCAACCTCTTTTAGAGAGCTATAAGGCATATTTTCATATCCATAAAAGTCATGAAAAAGCAATAAAAAGACATTAGTAAATACTTAATCTGCATTGTATCCTATTAGCATGTCATAAAATACATGCTATCAAACAAAATATCCATGAAAATAATATTCATTCTGAGAATATATTATGTGGTTCCAAAGCTACCCACCTCCTGGAAATTCTGCCTTGCCTTGTTCTGTGACATTACTCAGCCAACCCTCTTTTCCAGCCTCCCCAATAGCTTCTGGAATCGGTTTCCTTCTCTTTTTTTTCTAGAGATATTTTTTTTATTTCAGCATATTATGGGGGTATAAATGTTAAGGTTACATATATTGCCCATCCCCCTCCCCCCTCGAAGTCAGAGCTTCAAGTGACCATCCCAAACATTGCACATCTCACTCATTATATTTGTATATACCATCCCTCCTCCCCGTCACACCTGCCCGACACCTGATAAATGTTATTCCTATATGTTCACTTAGGTGTTGATCTGTTAATACCAATTTTCTGGTGAGTACATGTGGTGCTTGTTTTTCCATTCTTAAGATACTTCACTTAGTAGAATGGGTTCCAGCTCTATCCAGGAAAATATAAGAGGTGCTATATCATCATTGTTTCTTAAAGCTGAATAGTACTTCATGGTATACATATACCACAAAGCAACAAAGTTCAACCCAACATAATGAACAGAAATCTGCCCCACCTATCAGTTATCTCAATAAATGTGAATGGCTTGAACTACCCACTCAAGAGACATAGACTGGCTGAATAGATAAAAAAAAAAATACAAGCCAAGTATCTGCTGCCTTCAGGAAACACATCTAACCTACAAGAATGCAGTTAGACTAAAGGTAAAGGGGTAGAGAACAACATTTCAAGCAAATGGAAGCAAAAAGAAAGCTGGCATGGCAGTGCTGATTACAGATAACTTAGTTTTTAAATCAACAAAAGTAATAAAAGACAAAGAAGGTCACTATATAATGGTGAAGGGTACAGTTGAACAAGAAGACATAACAATTCTAAATATATATACAGCCAACCTAGGTGCACCCAGATTCACAAAGCAAACTCTACTTGATCTAAACAAATGGATAAACAACAACACCATAATAGTCTGAGACTTTAACACCCCACTGACAGCACAGGACAGATCCTCCAAACAGAAAATCAACAAAGAAATAATGGACTTAAACAAAACTCTAGAACAAATGGGCCTGACTGACATCTACAGAACATTCTACCCCAAAACCACTGAATATATGTTCATCTCGTCAGCTCATGAGTCATTCTCTAAGATTGACCATATCCTAGGACACAAAGCATGTCTCAAAGAAATTTTAAAAAATAGAAATTATACTATGTATCTTTTCAGATCAGAATTGAATAAATGTAGAAATCAATCCTAACAGGAGTTCTCATTTCTACACAAAGTCATGGAAGCTAAACAACCTTCTGCTGAATGATCACTTCATAAACGAGGAGATCAAGATGGAAATCAAAAGATTCTTTGAACTAAATGACAAAGGAGACACAAGTTATCAAAACCTGTGGGACACAGCTAAAGCAGTCCTAAGAGGAAAGTTTATTTCCACAAATGCCTATATCCAAAAGTCGAAAAGATCAGAAATAGACAACCTAATGAATTGTTTCAAAGAGCTGGAAAAAGAAGAACAGACCGACCCCAAACCCAGCAGAAGAAGTGAAATCATTAAGATCAAATCAGAACTAAATGGTTTTCTTCTTTTTCATCTTTCCACTGACCATGGAATTGCCTTTTACTCGGTCTTCTGTTTTTCTTTCTCTATTTCATTTCCTGGGGGAGCTTCATTCTCATCCCAGCTTAGTTACGTATTATTAATAGTTGTGTAATGTAAGGCAAGTTATTTAGCATCTCTGTACCTTAAGTTTCTCATCAGTAAATTGGATGTGCTATTTGATGTGAAAATCAAATGAGTTAGCACTTAGAAAACACTTAGAATAATCCCTGTCCCGTAGTAAGTCATCCGTTATTAACCTTGACTATTGTTTGTTACCATATCATCCTACTCAACGCTACATCTCAGACCTTTACTTTGATTTATGATTCTACGTTTCCAAATGCTTTTAAGACATGATCATCATAATATTCTGCTAATATCATCTCAGACATCAACATTTCCATAATGAAAGTTGATTTCTTGAACCGTATTCCCTTATCAACGTGGCTTATCCTTTCAAGTGCCCTCTTCCTATTACCAGAATTACTGTTCTTTAGGTAATCAAGTTGAAATTCCAGAAATTTAACATTTCTCTTTATCATGTTCATTTAATCTTGTTTCTAAACTTGTCAGCTCTGCCTTTGTAATTTATTTTGAATTCACTGAATTTTGTTACTTCCCAGCACCAGATCCTTGTTATTTTACTGAGGGTCTAGGCACCATGACATCCCTACTCCCAGCATCTTTACTCCAACCAAAAAATGTCTTACAAACATTACTTTCAATATGACATTGTCTACTCAGTGTTCTTCTACTCAAGAAGTTGGAATCAAAAAACCTAACTATACTAATAATGATTTAATAATTGGGAATAGCAGAGCCGATGTTACATTTAACGTATGTGTTGAAAATTTAACTTCATAAAATGAAAACTTATTTTAATTAAAATCTGTAAAGTAGAAATAACTTTTTGCTTTTATAGATGATTAATAACATAAGTAGAAAGGATCATAAAAAATGTTCCAGAAAACACAAGGTATCATACAGAAGGGCCAATATTACTACTATCATAATTATGGTAATAATAACTAACATTTATTCTCTACATTAAACTTTACAAAGTATTTTGACATAAAATATTTTACATGGTCTTCACAATAATTCGATGAAGAGAATATTAATAATAACCTAACTTGCAGAAGAAAAGACTGAGGCTCACAGAGGTTAAGCAGCTTAACAGAGGTCATGCTGCCAGGAAGCCCAGAAAGCCAGAACTTGACCTCAGGCTCTTGATTCTAGGCACTGTGCTTTTCCATCACACCTCTAAAAGACCTCAATGATCATTTTTTAAACAACTTACTACATTTTGAAAGCTTGATAGTACCTTACACATAGTGTGCTGTTGATAAATGTGGAGTCAATGAGTGAATAATAGACTAGTTATAAACTTCATACTTTAAATATATTAAAATAAGAGCATGTAATATGCAGAAAACCCAGAACAATTTTCTGAGTTTTGACTTCCACCAGGAAAGCCCCTAGAACTGTAAGCATAGAATTAAGGAAGTTGCTGCCCACAAGGTACTCTGTCTCTCGGATTCTTATGTAACAGTGTAAACATCAGTGTAAACATAAGAATGGAATACCTGAGGAGGAAAGATGTATACAGAAAAAAAAAAAAAATAGCGAGCATAGAGAATGGGGTGTAGAGAAACAGACTACTGTGCATCCATCCTTTTCCAGAAAGAAAAGAAGGCAGACCTGGCCTTACCATGGCCTAGATAATCTTCTCCTGAAAGATTATCTGTATCCACTTGCTCTAAGCCTCCACTAAATGAGCAGCCTTTTATGTTGTCCTTCCAAACACTTTGATATGCAGAAATAGAGTACCCATCACTGAAAATGGAATACCCCACTCTAAATGAATAAGCTGACAATTTTCTTTTACATTGATCTCTCTTACTAGTGTCTAAGTGTCACTAAGAGTCTGACCATTTCAAGGTGCCCTCGGAATGTCCAGAGGGCTGAGAACCAGCCACCTGGATTACTTTGACTCAACCTAGATGCTGCTTTCCTAAAGAAGTTTTAGCAGTAACAAGAAGCTCTCCTGTGCCACATTCCGCATTAGAATACTGTTGGCACTGAATACCATTGACGGTGAATTTCACCATTGACATGAAGAGGGGAAAATGCTGAATATTAGAAATTTATTGCAGGTAACTCCTAGTAATTTAAAGTGAGGCTTGGTTCTGTCTGATCAAGTAAGCTGATTTCCCAATGACCTAACTGAAGTTCAGGTCTTTAATTCTCTTATCCAATGCCTTTCAAAATTTGACCCTGTTTTAGTGCTTCCTTATTGTCTTACCTAGCTGCCTCAAGTACTTTACTGCCTGCTCTGGCCAACCTGGGCCCCTCTCTTCAAAGGCTCCACTTACCTTTGCTCATTCTAGTCATTCTTGAAAGGATTTGTAAAAGGTTATATTCTGGAAAATTTTAAGCATACACAGAAGTAAACAAAATAGTACAATAACTCCCCATGTACCCCTCACTCAGGTTATCAGCTCTTGGTTAATTTGGAAAGATATTTTCTTCTCCTCTATGCTCAAATTCATTAAAGTCTATCTCAAATCCTATGCTCTGTAATGAAATTTCCTCCCCAACTATTCCAGCCCAAATTTGCTTTTACCTTCCTGATCTCTTATAGACCAGTATCAGTGCCTGACATTTTGTTATCTGATAATTTTTTTCCTGTTATTATACTCAGTACAAGCTCTCTAGGTACACAGGTAAGTGCCATGTATGTTTCATATATAGTGAGTTTCTCAATAGCTAATCTATATAACTAAACTTCATGATCTATAGGTATACTATTACTAGTTGGCAAAAACAGAGTACAGTGTCCAGAAAATATTAAAGAATATTATTACTCTAGTATCACAAAGTATCTGCTTCTGTTTAAATTCATTAGCCAAAAGATCAGTAACAATTTCCTATTTTTCTAATCATTATCTTCATAGTTAACAACTCATATAATAGTAATATGAATAAAAATATGTAAAAACTTTTACAAGTGTAAATATAATTAGCCTTTATATCAAAAGTTGTCCTTTGAATATAAAATAGCCTAAAATTATAGAATTGACAAAGATGAACCTATGATTTTTAAGTGTCAGTACTGTCTTCTTTTTCTTAATGTTTAATATTCAGATTAATGTTAATGATTAATATTCAGATAGTTCAACTTACATTGCCTATGATTACAGAAATTATGAAAATGAAACAAAATTTAATTTTCCTGGATATATTTTATGCTCTGGAAATAATAGTGATGATAATTTAAAACATTTAAACCTGAATCGGATATATGTGTCTCACTGTTCACTTGACTATTTTAAATAAGACTTAAAATTATTTGATGAAGTATTCAGATATTTCTCAGTTGCAAATTACTTGGAACTGACTTTTTTAATCTGCTAATATTGCATAAACATTATTCTTACAACCATACCAAATGACTAGCAGGATTCAGAAGTGAATTATTACTTCATGATGGAAATGGCCACTGGGAAAATGTGAATATGTGTTGAACGGGTAGCCCACTCACTCCACTTTCCCAGAACTTCCAATATTTATAGCATCAGTTAGCATTTCAGTGAAAGAAGAATATGGTCATTTTGGTGCTGAAATTAGTGCACAAAACCATACTTTTATACCCTAGGGATCTTCTGCATCATAGCATTTTGCTAATAAGCTTCATTAATATCTGGCAATATGTCTTTTATTTAAATGACTTGATAACAGTTTCAAAGGCAAGAACACTCTGGATAGCACTTTATTTTGTGCTTATAGTTGGAATGTGGACAAGAAATCAGAGTCAACTGCTGAAGCAGTAGCCAAGTTAAAATGGATTTAAATTGAAGGAACAATAAGTTTATCAAAGTGCTATTATTTTAGATGCCACCCTCTAGGAAAAGTACAGTGTACAACTGATTTTATAGCATGTGACATGCTTTGCTTGAGTTCATCACTCACATTACTGATGATTAGAGGAACAAAAAGGGTTGGATGAGGAAATAAAAGAAAATCCACCTTAGGCTTTCTTGCTTGCTTGCTCTTAGAAAGACCTACTAATTAGCCTTTCGATTAACTAAGGTGAAGCCATTCAAGGCTTTGGTAACAATGAAGTGAAACAACATTACTACATTCACATCAGCTCATTTCAACAAAGGTACCTGATCTTCTCTTTGTTACCACACCAGTCCACTTGCAATGAGTGTTTTCACACTTTCTGATTCAATCTGTCCAAGCTGTGATTTTTTTCTGCCTGATTTGAACAAGTGTTAGTTCTCTGAAAGGCCAGGTTATTTAAGGTAAAGTGTGGTTGGCAAAAGTTGTGCCACATTATTTCTGTTACCAGCAAGTATTGTTTTCTCCTTGATATTATGTTTATTTGCAAATAATCAGAAATGCATTGCAAATTTAAAACAATATTTTATCCTAAAGCTCACAACTCTCTTAGTTTTGAAATAACTATATTACCAATCTGGAAAGCTTAAAAATAGAGAAAAATTCATGGGCTGAATGGGACAAAAAGGAATTGGTTCTTCTCTCATATATACATTCCATGGAGAATGCAAAGTGTGGGCATTCTGGAGGATTCCCTATAACCTGATTCTCCCTTGCAAAGGAGGTTGGAGTTCATGGTTACAGTGCTATTTGGAAAAGGGCCTCAAATTCTGAGACACTGACCAATTTCTAAGGACCTTGAGTTACTTTGTAAAGTACCATAGAACACAGTAACAATATTGATTGAATAGGTTAAATTATGAAGCGACTCACTGCCTTCAACAGATATTCATTTATCTCTTTATTTATTGAGTACCTGGCACATATGAACAAGCACCAGGCTACACATGCCATTCTAGCCTGAGGAGTCCAACAGACATGCTCACTGCCCCCATGGAGCTTTCCATTCAGCAGCAACAACAGTACAAAGAATTATCTTTGCACAGAGGGGGAAGAAATGACATTTAGCTGATGGCTGACTCAGAAAGGTTTCATTGAAGCAGTAGCATTGGAATTGTGTCTTGAAGAATAGGCTTTTGAAAGACAGAGGTGCATTCCTGGTGGAGGAATTAAACAAGACAAGAAAGACTAAAAAGCATGGAGTACGTTAAGGGGTTATGAATAGTGAGATTTGTCTATAATGCATGACAATTCATTGAGTCTCCACTATAAACAAGGTTCAGTTCTGAGTTCTCAGGATAAAGCAGTTTTTAAAAATGGACACTGCACTTTGGAGTCAACATTCTTATGGAAACGGGTCAGCAATAAAAACCAAATAGGTCTATAATATAATGGCAGATGGTAGAAGTGTTAATCCATTCCAGCCTCGTTTTTCTCCTTACTACCCTTGGAACTCATCAAACATGATCTTGCCTAAGGGCTTTGCACTTGCCATTCCTTCTACCTGGAACACATATTTTGAAAACATTCACAAGGCTCACTTCCCTCACTTCCTTAAGATCTTTGTTCAAATATCCCTTACCAGGGAAGCTTTCCTTATTAAGGAAGCAACCACCACTCTTCCCCAACACATCCTATGTCCTTTCCTGGCTTTGATTTTTTCACCATAGAAGCTACTGTTATCTGGCATGCTACTTAACTTGTTTGCTTACTGTTTCTTTCCCCAATGGAAAGTAAGCACCATGAAAGAAAGGGATTTTTATCTATTTTTTTACTGCTATATTCTCAGTATTAGGACAATACCTCGCACATTCAAGAAAGACTTATATTATGAAGAAATATGATGAAAAATAAAGTGGTCAAGAAAATTATGTGCTGTTATTTTAGAGGGAAGCTGGGAAAGGTCTCCGTAAAGAAAGAATATTTGAATAAGAGAGCAGGACGTCCGGCTTCTGACTGGGAACCTTCTTGCCGTCAGCAACCAAAGAGAGAATTAAATATGGGTGATGTTGAGAAAGGCAAGAAGATTTTTGTTCAGAAGTGTGCCCAGTGCCACACTGTGGAAAAGGGAGGCAAGCACAAGACTGGGCCAAATCTCCACGGTCTCTTTGGGAGAAAGACAGGTCAGGCTGCTGGATTCTCTTACACAGACGCCAATAAAAACAAAGGCATCCCCTGGGGAGAGGACACACTGATGGAGTATTTGGAGAATCCCAAGAAGTACATCCCTGGAACAAAAATGATCTTTGCCGGCATTATGAAGAAGGGAGAAAGGGCAGACTTGATAGCTTATCTCAAAAAAGCCACTAATGAGTAATAATTGGTCACTGCCTTATTTGTTACAAACCAGAAATATCTCGTAACTTTTTTTATGTGTACCATAATTTAATTGGTCTCATACACCAGAATTCAGATCACGAAAGAGCGACAAGAATATTTTTGTTGGATAGTCCTGATTTAACTAAGACTGGCTTGTGGTTAATTTGGTTTTTTGAATTCTGATAGTAATTCCAATACAGTAAATGCTATCACTGTTTCCTCCCTTCTGAAGATGTGATTGGATTAATTAGTAGTGTTCAACCTTTCACACGGATGGTAAATTGCCATTTCAAAACCTGTTGAAGATTGGTTTTATATTTAGATTTATATAACTGGTTATGTGAATATATTTAAATACTAGGGAAATCGCTTCACTGTCTTGGAACCAAGCAAGACTCACTGGTGTTTTAATTCGTGTTTATTAGCCTGTTAAAGGCGAGGGCTGGAGATAAGGTAGCAATGTTTACTTTATATATTTTTGGTCTTCGCTATGCCAATCCAATTTCCCTATGTCTACTAAAATGCTGCCTTTTATTTATTGAAAGGCATTTTAGTGTGGTTTATGTGTAATATCAAATAAAGAATATTTAACACTTAAAAAAAAAGAATATTTGAATAAAAATCTGAACAAAAAGAAGGAACAAGCCACATGACTATCCGAAGAAAGAGTTTTCCAGGCAGAGAGAACATCAGGGGCAAATACAGGAGCATCCTTGGCTAGAGGGGCATAAGCTAAGGAGGAGAGTGATGGAAAATGATCTCAGAGAGATAGGATGAGCCCTGTTAAAGATGCGGACTTTATTCTGGATGAGATGTGAAACTCTGGAGTTGTTGGATGTACTACAGGAGAGCAGAAACAGATAGGTAGAAAGGCAGTAGTCCAAGTAATTTAGATTGGTATGAGAGCAGTTAGTGGAGGTATAAGATTCAGGATGTATTTTGAAGGCACAGTTGATGGGATTTGCTGATGGAATAGATGACTATGGTAAGAGGGTGATATCAAGGGGGGGAATACAAGGATTTAATACAGAACAACTATATAATGGAGTTGCCATCAATTGAGATGGGAAGACTCTGAAAGGAGCAGATTTGGCAGAGGGAGGATGGGTAGAAATTAAGAGTTAGATCTGGAGGTGATAAATTTGAAAATGCCTATTAGATATCTAAGTGAAGGTATTGAGTAGGCCGTGAAATTTTAAGTCTGAATCTCGAGAGAAAGGTCAGAGCTAGAAATATAAATGTGGAATTCATCAGTGTATAGATGGTATTTAAAACCATGGGAGTAGATGAGATCACCAAGGGAATTAGTGTTAATTAGAATAAAACCCACTAACATTTGCATAGTGCTTTACCATTTACCAAGCACTTACATATCAACTGGAAAATTGTGGGAGTTAAGATTGAAAATCTAAGTTGGTCTTGAAAATGAAAAGTGAATGAGAACTAAAAAGTAATATGAGAGAATGCTGACTACACGGTGCTTTAGAAGTGATTGCATTTGGAGAATAAGGTTGTTAAAGACAATTCCAACTCTTTGATTTGGAACTATAAAAATGTAGGGTGGGAGGGGATGTGCAGAGGGATGATGATAACTATTATTTTGAACATGGTGAGTTTCTGGTGCTTTAAGGATATCCAGATGGTTCAGGAGGAGAAGGGAACTCTTTAACAAAGCCAAGCCCTGTTCTTCCTTCAAGACTCAGTCCTGACATCACTTCTGCCAGAAAATCTTTCTCCTTCCAGCCTCCTAGTCTGAGTTAGAGTTGTTTCTATCTTTCCACAGCTTCCATCACACCCTTAGGATTGCCTCTTCACCCTTTTGTTTCTCACTTAGTTCCTGAAAGAAATTAGACCACTGAGTTCCTTAAAGAGAAGGATTTTTGTCTTTCATGCCTGCATCTTCAGCACCTTGGACACTGCCTGAGATGTATCAGGCACTGGATAAATGCGAGTAGATTGATGGATGAATGGATAGCAGCAACGAGATCCAACTCAAGCTGTTTATGTTTGTACTAAAATAAACCAGTATGGCTTTGTGGAGCCCAGAAGTAAAATAGAGAGAGCATAAAGTGATATTAAAGGTCATATTTCAACTACAGCTTGATCTCAATCAAGTAGGACCTATTCTGTATGAAATATTTTTCAGGTCACCTGGCCACCAGATTGAGATATCAAAATTTGAAATATTCACCACACTAAGAGACCTGGTGGCCACATTATATTGTCTAGATGTTTGGGGATGAAATGAAGCATTAAAAACTGCTCTCTGAATACTTGTTGTTGTTGTTGTTATGAGGTTGGGACCAATGCATTTATATAGGACTTTTCCCTGGTCTATTGAGTTTGACAGATGACCGAATAAGATATGTGAGAGGAAGCAAATTTGAAGTGGAATAGATAGAAAACTAAGCTTAATATCTAGTGTAATTCAATGAATATTGAGCACCTACTTTGTGTCAGACATTATATTTGATACTATGAATGTAATAATGATCAAAATATAAGTGTTCTCTTCCATAATGGAGCTCACAGCCTAGTAAATGTAATAATAATAATAATAATAATAGCTAACATTTAGATAATTATGTGTGCCACACACCATGCTCAGGGCTCTACATGTATTAGATCATTTAGTCATCAGGATAACCCTATAGAGATGCATGCTGTTATTACCCCTATTTTATAGATGGAGATACTGAGAGAAAAGGACTTTGAGTAACTTGCCTAAAGTCACCCATCCTGAAAGCAGTGAGGCCAGGATTGGAATTCATATAACATGGCTCTGGAACCTGTGGTCTTAAGCACTACACTTTATGTATAAAACATGGAACAAATATTTATTGCAATTTAAGAATGTAACATTAAGTTGCTGAGACTGGTATTAGAAGAAAATGCTCAGGAAATTAGCTGATGACTTCAGAGGACAAAAGAAAAAAATGAAAAGTTTCTAACTAACCAGCTAAATATAAGAATGAATAAGAAACAAGGAGACAAAGACCAAACTCAAGTGTGAAGGATATGTTTCACATTAAGCATTTTTTAAAAAATTCTGCATTCCAAGGGAAAGCATTAGAAAATAGTTTTGCATTGTAAGTCCTTAAATGGTATGTCACCCAAGACTGATATGCCTGGGCCCACCAAATATGTCAATGCATTGCTAGCACAGTGCTCCTCTGGGGAAGATGTTTGTACCGTGAGTGTCTTAAAAGCATTTGTGTCAGAGATATATTGCTGAGGAATCACAGCCTGGCTGTGATGTGGAAGGTTTTTCTGAAATTTACCAATATTTCTTGAAAGCCTCATATTTCTTTCAGTGGCTTCTGTTCTGACTCCTGGTCACTAGCTCCATATTTTCCTCATGTAGTGCTCTCATGTCTGACATCCTAAAGTTGTAGATAGCCAAAGAAGAAGCCAAAACCATTCCATATTCTAGGAATGAGCTTCCTATATTAACAGCCATGGAAGTACGGAATAGTCATTAAATGCTTGGTCTTGGGACTCACAGTGACCATCACTCATTGTATAATCTCTCATACCACCTCGGTTTCTTCATCTTTAAGATGGATTCAACATTAATTTCTCCTTATAGGATTATTGTGGTGATTAATACATATAAAGTGCTTAGTACAGTGCCTGACCCAATACATTTTAGTTATTATCATCATCATCACATTATCAGCATCAACATCTTTGATCATTTATGATAAGCACAGTTCCCAACTGAGATTAGGCAAAACCTATTCAAAAAACAGGAAGTCAAATTTTGTTATTATTTTTCAAGTGACTGTAGACAGGTTTTTAGTAAAGAAAATGTGTAAATACATGGCTAAATAGAATTTTTGTAATGCAGTAGCTCTCAGGTTGATAGCATTTCCATTTAAAATATTTCTGACATGTTCTTTGGAGAATTAATTCTTCTCTTAATACCAAATCACAGCTCTTTAGGCACCATATTTTTAATTTGGTAAGTATAGAAAACTTATGCATATCAACTTTCTTCCTCATTTTGAGTGTGTTAGTAAAGCATTGGTTAGTAAAGCATTAGTAAAGCATTGGTTTCTACCTTTGAATGAGCTTGATATGAATTACCCGTTGCCACTCTGGGCTATTGAGGATGTCTACTAAGCTCTCTCTCTCTTTTTTTTTTTTTTTTTATTTCAGCATATTATGCGAGTGCCAATGTTTAGGTAACGTATGTTGCCCTTCCCCCCTCCCAAGTCAGAGCTTCAAGCATGTCTTCACTGGGATGTTTTTGCTAGTCTGTTCTTTCCATCTGAACTAGATAATGATAGCTGACATTTGTTTCACATGCATCATATGCCAGGTAACTTTCCAAGCACATTACATACACTAATTTATTTAACCATTGCATCGATCTGTAGAAGCAAATACTACTATATTATTATCCTTTTTCACCACTTAGCAAATAATGTTACCAAAGTTAATACTGCCCATATTTATAGTGATCAAAAAATTTGTTGTCTATTTTAGAACACATTGAGAGTGGAAATAGGAATAATTAAGCTGGGACAGTAGACATAAACCAGTACTGTCCTATGCAACCCAAAACATATGGTCATCCTAACCA